AAACACGTTGAAGGTGGGAGCCTTCGCGGAATATAATTTCAAAACCATATGATATTTCTAAAGTGATCATTTGGCGTTTAAAGAAACGATCTCAGGTTTCCAGCACGGCTAAGAGTTACACAAGACTTAAAATAATACACATCTTTATGGATTTTAAGAGTCAGTTAATTCCCTTGCCTCGCGAAGATGAATAAAACACCACCAAAAGGATAACTTTCGTTTAAACTTTGCTTAGGGGAAGTTGCATTAACATATAGCAATTTATAAGTTCACGGTAAGTGGTACTGTGCACAGCGCACAGGTCACAAATCAGGCGATAACGTTGGTCGCGTGTGTTGTTCAACAGCTTGACTCCTGAGAGTTTCTAGGGCTTCGGTCCTGCCCCACACTGAAGCACATGTAGCACACGTGGTGTCTCCTTGGGCAGGTGACTTTGTTCGAGATGTATCTCTGTTCACCAAGCAGTGAATGGGTACCCGGTAGAATGAGATGGCTATGTGGTTGTTAACCTTCCAGCGCCACACAAGGGGTTGTATACTCCCCGGGGAGCTGGGGATGATTGTTGAGTACACACACACCATTGTCCGGAGTAATAGCAGCGTAGCGCTGTGAGCATGCCCCTGTGGTGTGGCTGCAGCGCAACATAAATAGTGAGTGAGTTGGGTTTAACGACGCTTTTAACAATATTCCACTTATATCACGGCGTGTCAGCTTAAGGTGGGAGGAAAGTGACGTTTACCACTTCGGTGAAACCCACGAGCACGGGTATGGTGCTGACAAACCTAGAAACATAATTGGGGCGAACCGGGATTCGAACCCACAATCATAGGTTTCTGTCGTGTCCAAGGGACGCAACTCTGCACAGCGAATCGTGGCGCCTCAGACGACTGGGCCACCCGTGCTCCCGCAATATAAATAGGCCTATTATTATTAATATCAATAAGAGGGTTTTTTTTAAATTTTCGTCTGAATAATCGAAATAAGGCGTCATTAAATGAATTTGTTTTAAATCAGTATCTACATCCCTGTGACCAGTAATATTGTTTTCTGCTGGCAATCACCAGTGTATGTACTTGGCTAACAGCATGTAAGAGTTATGGTTTAATTAATCGTGGCTAGTATCTTTGAGGATTTCCACTTATATTCTAATTCATATATTAACAAAGTATATCATAACACTATCGAAGTTGCCAAACTTTGACCTCAAACATCGTCATTGCTGACATTTTCAAAGAGGCGATTCAATCACTGCTGGTCGTGCCGTGCATCCTCTGTGCGCATGCCAATCTAGGGGAAACAACTCTGTTAACCCGAGCGACACTGCCTCTAACTGGCGCATCTGGAGTTCGCGTCAGACTGGTGTGAGACGTTTCGGTGTCAACTGATGCAAATGGCTTTGTTCAAAAGCAGTGAATGGGTACCCGGTGGAATACGATGGAAATGCGGCTGTTAACATTCTTGAGCGTCATAGGCAGCTTGGGTTGTATACTCCACAGAGAGATGAAAATGAAAATCGGGTGCACACATGTCCATTGTAATAATGTAGCGCTCTAAGCATGCATCAGGGCGTGGATTTGGCGCATTACACATTGCACATTAATGCACATTATTACACATCAGCACGGAATGTTCCGTTGAGTTTATAGGTGCTGTGTCAGCTAACCTGTAAAACATATGGCATGGTAATGGGTACCCGGTGGGATGCGATGGTAATGCGACTGTTAAGCTTTCAGAGAGCCACGGGCAGCTTTGGCTGTATGATGCACAGGGAGCTGAGAATGAAAATCGAATGAACACTGATCCATAGACCGGGGTACTAATATAGCGCTTTGAGCATGATTTAGGGTGTGGATCCGGCGCATTGTAAATATGCACATTATTTATTATGAAAGCAATATTCCGAGTCCTGGGAGCTCTCTCTTGAGTCTACAGATCTTTCGTGAGCCCATCAGCGGGTCTATGACCGAGTCCTGGGAGCTCTCTCTTGAGTCTACAGATCTTTCGTGAGCTCATCAGCGGGTGTATGACCGAGTCCTGGGAGCTCTCTGAGTCTACAGATCTATCGTGAGCCCATCAGCGGGTGTATGACCGAGTCCTGGGAGCTCTCTCTTGAGTCTACAGATCTTTCGTGAGCTCATCAGCGGGTATATGACCGAGCCCTGGGAACTCTTCTCTTACTGTGTCTACAGATCTATCGTGAGCCCATCAGCGGGTCTATGACCGAGTCCTGGGAGCTCTCTCTTGAGTCTACAGATCTATCGTGAGCCCATTAGCGGGTCTATGACCGAGTCCTGGGAGCTCTCTGGGAGCGGTCGAGTAGCCTAGTGGTTAAAGCGTTTGCTCGTCACGCCGAAGACCCGGGTTCTATTCCCGACATGGGTACAATGTGTGAAGCCCATTTCTGGTGTACCCCGCCGTGATATTGCTGGAATAATGCTAAAAGCTGCGTAAAACCATGCTCACTCACTCAGTCACTCAGTCACTCACTCACTCACTCACTCAGTCACTCAGTCACTCACTCACTCACTCACTCACTCACTCTCTTACTGTGTCTACAGATCTATCGTGAGCCCATCAGCGGGTGTATGACCGAGTCCTGGGAGCTCTCTCTTACTGTGATCTATAGTCGATAATCTCCCGACGATATATATATATATATTTCGTGTCGAAAGTGTCACGATATATATATATATATATATATATATAAAATTATATATATATATCGTGAAACTTTCGACACGAAAACTTACATGTTTTTTGTGTCAAAAGTCAATTTAACGCTATGACGTCAACACACATGTACAAAGAAAAGGGCCATAACTCCGCTATGCTTAACTGTAGGCCATGGTAACTCTGTTTATGTTTATGACTGATCGTCATCCAAAATGTCCTGAGGTGAGGTGAGGTGATTTTATATAGTGCTAGCTCACTGAAATACCATGCCGCAGTTTAACATGAATACCCCACTCAGACACAGTACACTGCTTCCGAGCCGACCAGTCCTTGTTTTAGCCCCATTATGCCGAGCGCCAGGCAGGGTAACAACAAGTACCATCTTTTTAACCCCGGACCTTCCGCTCTCCGGGCGGACGCTCTACCACTAGACCACGGAGGCGTCAAGGTGATCGTTGGTGGTCCTTGGACCGTCCGTATCGTGGTGGTTCCACTGATGATGATGTAGCTGGAGACGCCCTTCCATCCATTAAGCGCTCACATAGTCGGCAGGGGCGGTCAAGTAGCCAAGGGGTTAAAGCGTTTGCTCGTCACGTCAAAGACCCGGGTTCGAATCCCGACATGAGTACAATGTGTGAAGCCCATTTCTGGAGTCCCCCGCCTTGATATTGCTGGAATATTGCTAAAAGCGGCGTAAAACCATACTCACTCACTAAGTGCCAAGATAGATAAATTAAGGATGCAAGAGAATGCGTCTTTTTGTTTTAGTTTCCTTCCCGTTCACTGTAAAATGAATTGATTCACATTCCTTCTTTGCCAAACTAGCAAAGTCACTCATCCCTGACTATACCTGGGTTGTTTAATAGCAATAGGCGAAGCGGGATGATACCGCTAAGTGACGTAACTCTGCACGACATATGAGCAGGATGGAGACAATATTATAACACGCGAACGTTGTCTGTTTAATATCCTTCGACAAATGTTCGCATATGTTTATTGCAAATTTATTGTAATTAAGTTAACCAAATGTTTCTATATTGTAATTTACGCAACTCATTGTGATCGCGGCGGGAGATAACTGTTTTTCACAAATCTGGTGTAACAATTCACGACACGGTGAAGGGATATATGCGCGGCGACACATTCAACTGAGCAAACAGAAATATGCTAAAGTATTCCGTTGTGAAAGCGTCACGCTCTATTTTTTAAAAGCACTTGATGGCTATCAGTCACAATGAGTGACATGTTATGGTGAGATCTCCTGGCCCACTCTTACGTATTCAAGCGGCAACAGAGAGTAAACGCAACGATCTTGAAACAGTGGTTTTGCAGTTTAATATCAAGTGGTCAGTCCGAATGTGACATCCGCTGTGCAGAGTTGCGTCCCTCGGACACGCCAGAAACCTATGATTGTGGGTTCGAATCCCGGTTCGCCCCGATTATGTTTCTAGGTATGTCAGCACCATACCCGTGCTCGTGGGTTTCACCGGAGTGGTAAACGTCTGAGACCTACATCACTTCGGGATTTCCTCCCACATTAAGATGACACGCCGTGATGTAATTGGAATACTGTTAAAAGTGGCGTTAAACCCAACTCACTCACTCATTTGATTGTGAAGGTTAAAACCTCAACGTAGTGATAGTTGACTCAATGACATACTCATCAATTAATCCCATGTGATTGTTTATGGGGTTTCAGCAAACTGTAAACGTTACTCTGCATTCTTTCTCCATGTAATATGTGACATTATAGGCCAATTTTCGAGTGGCGTTAAACCAAACTCACTCACTCCTGTTTACCTGTTTTTAAAAAAAAATACCGCTTAGGGATGTAACTCTGTACGGCGAAATGTGAACTGGATAGAGACAATATTATAATATTCGAACGTTGTCTGTTTAATATCCTTCGATCAATGTTCTGGGGCACGGGTGGCCCAGTCGTCTAAGGCGCCGCGATTCGCTGTGCAGAGTTGCGTCCCTTGTGCACGTCAGAAACCTTTGATTGTGGGTTCGAATCCCGGTTCGCCCCGATTATGTTTCTAGGTTTGTCAGCACCATACCCGTGCTCGTGGGTTTCACAGAAGTGGTAAACGTCTGAGACCTGCATCACTTCGGGCTTTCCTCCCACATTAAGCTGACACGCCGCGATAATATATAACTGGAATACTGTTAAAATCGGCGTTAAACCCAACTCACTCACTCGATCAACGTTCACACAGCATTTTAAAAAAAATGTAATCTTATGTAATTCACGCAGCTCATTGCGATCGCGGCGGGAGATAACTGTTTTTCACAAAGCTGCTGTACCAATTCACGACACGGTGAAGGGATATATGCGCGGCGACGCATTCTTCCGAGCACGCATAAATATGCTAAAGTATTCCGTTGTGAAAGCGTCACGCTCTGAAAGCACTTGATGGCTATCAGTCACAATGAGTGATATGTTATAGTGAGAACTCCTGGCCCACATTTATATTGTGGACTTCAAGCGGCAGCAGAGAGTAAACGCAACGATCGGGAAACAGTAACTGTATTATACGTGGAGGTGAGTTCTCGAACTTATAACTTCATTTGTACCGTGAAAATAATTAATCATGATATTTTTTTTATTTATTACTTTGATTTGAAAGAGATATGCGTGTCTTTATCACAGATCAGTGTTCTATTAGCTGAACATATGACAAATCTATATATTAATTGTATTGGAATTTAAAGAGATATTTGTGTGTTTATCACGGATAACGTTGGCAACAGATCGGTATACTATTAGCTGAACATATGACAAATCTATTTATTAATTGCATTGGCATTGAAAGAGATATGTGTGCTTATCATAGAAAAAAGGGGGGAGGGCAAGTGGGCCATATAATAATAATTTTACTTTAACAACCTGATCAACATGTTATGGTTGGAAATGGGCGTACACAATTGTCACCAGATGTAAAACAGGGGGGATAGGTTGGCCACTCCCAGAGCCCCCCCCACCCCCGACGCCCGCTGGTAATATTACTGGTCACCCTGACATGTACATGCCGGAGCTAGGTCACCGGGACCAAGGAAATATACACAATGAAATTGACAATGGCTGATTTCACTTGCTATACCTGTCACTACTCTTGTCATACACGTGGCGCTATTAAGTCAAACGTTATGTACTTAAACACTTCGAAAAGGCATAAAATCATTTTTGTCAAAATGGTTATAAAAATCAAGTTACGTTGTTCTGTGTATTCCGATATGAGGTAATCAAACTCTATCATGTTTTTCGGGTTCAAATCTCATATGATGAGTTTCGAGATTGGCTTGAGCCGAAAAACACACCGTGTCTGAATCTTGAAAACATGAGTCTGCGTTTTCATTGTGTCAGTATTTAAAAAGTAATTAAGATATGTTGTAACAGACTTTTGAAAATACAACAGTTAAAACATTACCATAAAATAGATAAGAATATGCATGATGAAAATACGTTTTATAATGATGAAGATGACGAAATAGGATGAGACTGACGATAACTATCATCATGATAGAATAAGTAAAAATGATTGTTATACAATGCTAAAATGAAGTAAGCGTGACGTTCGACATGAGGTATTTAGTAGCCAGTTGGAGTTGGTGTTTAATATTGTAAGATGTATGTGAACACGTTTAGAGGGGACGGGTCGTTTAAAGCGCCGCATTTCGCTATGCAGAGTTGCGTCCCTTGGGCACGCCAGAAACCTACGATTGTGGGTTCGAATCCCGGTTCGCCCCGATTATGTTTCTAGGTTTGTCAGCACCATACCCGTGCTCGTGGGTTTCACCGAAGTGGTAAACGTCCGAGACCTGCATCACTTCGGGCTCTCCTCCCACATTAAGCTGACCTAATGTTAGCAACAGATCGTGATATGACTAGAATGCTGTTCAAAGGGGCGTTAAACCAAACTCACTCAATCAACCACTGTAAAGACGATTAAAGAAGACTTTAATGTCGCAGCATCTTCTACAACCACCTCGTGCCGGGGTTAAAGGCTAAGTGAGTGAGTGAGTATGGTTTTACGCCTCTTTTAGCATTATTCCAGCTATATCACGGCGGGGAACACCAGAAATGGGCTTCACACATTGTACCCATGTCGGGAATCGAACCCGGGTCTTCGGCGTGACGAGCGAACGCTTTAACCACTAGGCTACTCGACCGGCCCTTAAAGGCTAAGACAACGAGGACGTCACTGGGGCAGTAAACGGCTCGAAAATAAAAAGTATGGTCATAAGTTCATTCTTTTCACTGAGAATACTAGTGTCGATGTTGCGATATTTTCTTCTGTTTGGTGAACCAGCCTAAAGGTCTCAACATTGGCCTGTTCTTTCCTCATGTCTGTATACTTGTAGGGCGGTCGGGTAGCCTAGTGGTTAAAGCGTTCGCTCGTCACGCCAAAGACCCGGGTTCGATTCCCGACATGGGTACAATGTGTGAAGCCCATTTCTGGTGTCCCCCGCCGTGATATTGCTGGAAAATGTCTAAAAGCGGCGTAAAACCATAGTCACTCCCTCTGTATACTTGTAGATAGTGGGATGGCTAGAACAGGATATCTCTCACTCTTTTGTTTTCAGGTTTGCTAATGATTGTGTGACCGGTACAAAAATATATACACATGGCATAATTACTAATTGTATAAACTGCCTTTATGAAAATCATCTTAAAGTGTTCATCTCTCAGGTATCCACATAATCAGATACTAATTGAGCAGTGTTCACCCTGTGAAGTGTTCACCTGCACAGGTCCACTTTAGTCATACAGGTGAGGTGAGGTGAAATTGGGTTTAACGTCGCGTCCAAGATTATTGCACTTATATAGCGACGTGCATGCACGTGTGTGTGTGTGGCTGCTTGTACTAGTCCGGACTGATGCCGATTTATACTGCTAGCTCACTGAGATACCATGCCGCAGTTTAACATGAATACCCCGCTCAGACACAGTATACTGATCCTGAGCCGACCAGTCCTTGTTTTAGCCCCTTAATGCCGAGCGCCAGACAGGGTAACAAGTACCATCTTTTAACGTCTTTTGGTATGACACGGCCGGGGATCGAGCCCCGGACCTTCCGCTCTACCACTAGACCACGGAGGCGGTCTTAGTCATACAGACTATGACCAACAATGCAGTGAGCCGCAGCTCGAGCTCTTAAGCCCATATAACCCCCAAGGCTAAAGCACGGTGTTCTTAACCCTGTCACAGTAGCATGTCAAGTGGAGTGAACATACACGGATTTAAGATAAGCTTGGTTCTGAGGTGTAATGTGTTTGATGTTTGTTGTTTAACGCCGCACATTATTTCAAGACAGAGAGAAATAGTTTATTTAAGTGTCACATGACAGGCAACACCAATAAGACCTTTACACACAAAGTGACCAATTATCAAGCCTAAAAGTGAGTGAGTATTGTTTTACGCAACTTTTAGCAATATTCCAGCAATATCACGGCGGGGGACACCAGAAATGGGCTTCACACATTGTACCCATGTCGGGAAACGAACCCGGGTCTTCGGCGTGACGAGCGAACGCTTTAACCACTAGGCTACCCGACCGCCCCATCAAGCCTTAAAAGGTATAAGAGACACTGACGGTAAAATACAGTTAGCACATAGGCATGTATATACAGTAAACTACGTTTATAACGAACACGCTTATAGCGAACTGACGGATATAACGAACTTACTTTTTAGTCCCAGCGACCGCCTCCGTGGTCTAGTGGTAGAGCGTCCGCCCGGAGAGCGGAAGGTCCGGGGTTCGATCCCCGGCCGCGTCATACAAAAAGACGTTAAAAGATGGTACTTGTTGTTTCCCTGTCTGGCGCTCGGCATTAAAGGGGTAAAACAAGGACTGGTCGGCTCGGAGTCAGTATACTGTGTCTGAGTGGGGTATCCATGTTAAACTGCGGCATGATATCTCAGTGTGCTAGCACTATAAATCGGCATCAGTCCGGACTAGTACAAGCAGCCACACACACACACATGCACGTCGCTATATAAGCGCAATAATCTTGGACGCGACGTTAAACCCAATTTCACCTCACCTTTTAGTCCCAGCCGTTTGTTGAAAATATGCTGAATACATTCTTATAACGAACTACGGTTATTACGAACTTAAATTAGTGGTCCCTTTGAGTTCGTTATAAGCGTGTTCGTTATAAACGTAGTTTACTGTACTCTCCTTTAAAAACATACCCTAAAAAGATAGGAAGACAACCCAAGCATATGTGAATACAACAAGAAACTGATTCTCAAATGGTATACGAAAAAAACTGGTGACATATGTTAAAATAGTTGTTAAAATTGTTGAATTATATGATTGTTGTAAAAAGATGTTGTGATTTTGTGTATTTTTGTATTTTGAAGATATGTACAGGAAAAACATATTATTGCATCAACAAAGATGTGTGTACATTGAATCACCAAATACCACCCATTCACTATTGTCTTCCAGCCCTTATAAAATAAATAAGCAGATCCCAAGGGGCTGCCATGGCTAGCTCGCAACACCGATTCGACGAAATAGGGTGCAATGCACTCAAGCGTTGTTCGACCGATCAGATGAACGTTTATTCTAGGACTTCGACCGACCAGGATGTGATCCTCTGTGGCAGGCTGGATCTTCTGTTGTTTGACTGAATGTGGGATGGACCAACCATTGATATCCTGGTCAAAACTGGGTGGTGTGTGAGTGAGTGACTGTACGAATGTGTGTGTGTGTGTGTGTGTGTGTGCGTGCGTGCGTACGTGCGTGCGTGCGTGCGTGCATTATAATGTCATTTTTCAATTCGAAGTCGATGGCTTGAAGTACCAAAATGACATATTGATAGTCTAAACTAAATTCACTTATATGCTTTACATTTTGAAGTATTTTCTATTTTATTTCATAAGCAGGCTGGTGTTATCGTATCCCATCGCGTGAGTTGAGGTTAAATGAAAAAGGTTTACGACACATTCAAGATTAATTCTATGCATTCATACAAACGCCTGCCAAGGTCATAGGAAATGGTTAATAATACATCTATTCAATCTGGCTGTGTTTTTTTCATTCTGGCTGTGTTCTATTCATACTAGGTGTGTTCACGTGGCCCACTGAATGTTAATCGTGAAAACTGGGACGTCAAGCCTGTTTGTAAAGAACGACTGGGCATATCTGAGACTTTTCATGTCACACAATATATGATTCAGTACTATTCACAAAGTTCAAGAAATTCCAGAAAATGTATACATCTGAATATCTGTAAAGATATCGATATAATCCGTGGTTAAGTTTATTTCTCTTCATAACAAGAGGTGTGTGTTGTGTGTGTCTGTGTGGTGTGTGTATGTGTGGTGTGTCTCTGAGTGTGTGGTGTGTGTCTGTGTGTGTGTGAAATGTGGAATGTGTATTGTGTATGTGATGTGTGTGTGTGTGTGTGTGGTGTGTCTGTGTGTGTGTGAAGTGTGGAATGTGTATTGTGTGTGTGATGTGTGTGTGTGTGTGTGTCTGTGTGGTGTGTCTCTGAGTGTGTGGTGTGTGTCTGTGTGTGTGAAGTGTGGAA